TCAGCATCATCATCATCATCCTCATCATCATCAGCAGCATCAGCATCATCATCACCATCATCATCATCACCATCATCATCATCAGCATCACCATCATCACCATCATCGTCATCATCCTCATCATCATCAGCAGCAGCAGCATCCTCATCATCAGCAGCAGCAGCATCTGCATCTGCATCAGCATCAGCATCATCATCAGCAGCATCATCGTCATCATCCTCATCGTCATCAGCAGCAGCAGCATCATCGTCGTCATCATCATTCCTCATCACTCATCTTCTCCATCATCATCAACATCATCATCAACAACAACATCATCATCAGCATCATGTTCATCATCAACATCAGCATCATCAGCAGCATCATCATCACCATCCTCAACAGCAGCATCATCATCAGCATAATCAAGTGTCTGGAGTGTGACATCTCCCTGAACTGAAGGTCAGAGAACTGCGCAGAGTGCAGCACAGATACGGGGCTCGTGGCCGTGAGCCGTTGGCGGGGCATCTCGGCAGCGACGTCGCAGTGGCAGACTGTAGCGGTAGCTGTCGTGACTGTGAGGCAGTAGTTGCGACAGGAACGGCATCAGAGACAATAGAGGTCGTAGTCGTCGAACGGCTAGAGTCCAAAGCGGAGGAGGTAGGAGTGGGAGGACGAGGAGGAGGAGGAAGAGGAAGAGGGACTAGGGAGGAGGAGCACAGAGTTTGAGATGGATTAGGGACGAGTAGGAGGAGGAGGAGGAGGAGGAGGAGGAGGAGGAGGAGAGGAGGGAGGGAGGAGGAGGAGGAGGAGGAGGAGGAGGGGGAGGAGGGGGAGGAGGAGAAGGAGGAGGAGGAGGAGGAGGAGGAGGAGCAGAAGGAAGAAAGAGGCAGGAGGGAGAGGAGGGTGAGGAGGGATGGCCTGGGCTAGGAGCGGGGAGGGGTGCTTGCGGAGAGAAGACATGAGGGATACGACGCAGTCGCAGAGGAAGAGGGGCAGGAGTAGGGGGAGGACGACGACGACGACGACGACGACGACGACGACGACGTCCTCGGCCAGCTCCGCGTACCTTCGGGGGGAGGCGGCGGACATCCGCCTCAGCCGATCCTCGGATGGCACGCGCGCGCGCACACGCCGCTCCTGGCGAGACGAGCGCGCGCATCAGACCCGCATGCTGCAGCACGACGAAGGCAAGATCGAGACAAAATAGAATTGATATAAATCGAGAATCTCTGAGAATCGGCGGCCTTGGAGGATGTATCGGGCGCCGCGGCCGTGTCGGAGCGTTCTGGAACGCTCTGAGAGCGTTCCGGAACGCTCTGGAACGGATTTATCCTCGTCCTAGCCCCGTCCGAAAACGCCAGACCCGCGTGCTGCAGGGAACCGGCAGCCGCAGTCCATTGCGCCAGAGCAGGGGAACTTGGAGCTGCAGCGCGCTGCCACAAGCCAAACGGGACGCACAAGGAAACACAAAAACGATGTGCCTCTGCTGGAGGCGCACGTCCGTCCCGAACATACAATACAAAATCTTGTAGTATATCGTTGCCCGAGCAGTGCAGCCAGAAAGCGTCCGCCACGGAGCTCATACTATAAGATTTCCGAGCGCGCTCGCCGTCCGCGCATGGCTAACGCACATATAGAATAAGTATGTTTGGGGTGGTGCCGACTCAACGCAACACACAGAACCTCGAGCCGACCTCGCAATAAAGCACGGTCGACCCACGAGCCCAGAAATGGACATGGAGCTGCCCCAATTTTGGCAATGGGCAGAGGCAGTGCCAAGGGCGTTGCTGCGCTGCGCTGCGCCATGCTGTGCGGTGCTGAACTGTGCCGCTTCATACTGCGTTGGACGGAGATGTACTCTATTGCGTCGTGGCGCCCGTCGTCTCTGGCAGCCGCACCTTGCCCGAACTGCTCTGATCGTTGGGCTCGAGCTGCTTGAACTCATGGCGCTCGCCCAGAAGCGGCTTCGGTCGAAACGTGCGGGGCGCTCAACCAGCGCGAGCTCAAGAGCCGATCCGGTTCTGGAACGGGACGGACCGACAGGGGGGCATGGACCCGCCACAAGATGTGCCAGGGGCGCACCAGAGGATGTTCCCGGGGACATACCAAGGAGCGTACCATGGACGTGCCAGCGGTCTGCCACAGGACCTGCGAAGTGGCGTGCCAGGGGGCGTACCAGCGGATGCCATGCCAGGGGAAGCCCCAGGGAAAGTGCCAGGGGACGCGCCAAGGAAAGGGCAGGGGAAGCGCACGAGGACGAGCCAGGGAACGTGCCGCGGGACGCCCCGCTGGACGTGCCAGGGGACGCATCACTGAGCGCGCCACTGGACGTGCCAAGGGAAGCGACAAGGGACGCACCAGCGAACGCACCGAGCGACGTGCGATGCGATGCGCCGCGGAACGTGTCAGGGACACGTCGCAGACGTGCCAGGGGACGCGCGCGCCAGGGGACGCGCAAGCCAGGGGACGTGCCAGGGAACGCGCCAGGAGACGTTGGGAACGTTCCCAGGGACGAGCC